TTCCTAATTCTTTAAATATTATTTATATAAAATTTTTTAAATATTATGAATTTAAATTTCGTTTGAAACAAAAATAAACATATGTTAATCAAAGAAGACTTGATCCATTTTTTCTATCTTTCTACTCCCAATAAATAAAAATTTTTCACACGGGACTTTTATTTTCGGACAGAGGGAGTATATAATATTCAAAATTCGTTGCAATGTTTAGTTTAATGTACATTCCAGGCCGGTTTAGTCCTTATTTTATTCTAAACTCTTTGAAATAAAACGTAATAACTACGATTTTTACTTTACTTTGTAAGATTTTTTTATTAAATATTAAAGGTCGCGGTAGCGACCCGAAGGCAGGTGGCATGCCTAATGACCTACCGCGCACTGCCACGCACCCTTATATAATTCGACATTTTGAATTTGTTTTTTGTTTGTATCATTTGCACATTATTAATATCCTGATATGCTCAAACCTGTCCTAATGCCGATCACCAAAAAGCTCTAAGCTATAAGCCAACTTTCTGGACAAACCAACACTTTACAAGTGATCTTTCGTTTATAGTTGGAAGAAATGGTTCTGGAAAAAGTAACTTCTTTTATGCCATTCAATTTGTTTTGTGCGATGAATTTTCTCATCCCCGACCTGAACAAAGACAGGCTCTGTTACACGAAAGCACAGGGCAGAGAGTTATTTCTGCACACGTGGAAATTATATTTGACAATTCCGATGGAAGATTACCAGTACGCAAAAAATACTGCTCCCATCTGTTTATTAATTTTTTATTATTAACTATTTGATTTTGTAGATTGCCAAAGAAGAAGTGTATGTAAGAAGAGTAATCGGTGCAAAGAAGGACCAATATTTTCTTAATAAAAATTTAGTACCTCGAAGCGATGTAATGAATTTGTTAGAATCAGCAGGATTTTCAAGATCAAATCCATACTACATTGTAAGACAGGGGCAGGTACGTCTATTATACAAGTGCGATGCATAAGAACCAAACAAAGGCAGTATTTATTTTGTCCAGATTAATCAAATGGCGATAGCATCTGATTCACAAAGACTGAAATTATTACAAGAAATAGCTGGCACCAGAGTGTACGATGACAAGAGAGAAGAATCAAAATGTCTTTTGAAAGAAATAGAAGGCAAGTTAGAAAAGAGTCAAGAGTTTCTAAGAATAATAGGTATGTATTTTTTAAACATGATATAACTTTCTGTCAAATGATTAATCGTACATTGGCTTGAAGAGGAACATTTAAAGACGCTAGAAGAAGAAAAGGACGAACTTAAAATATATCAACAATGGGACAAGCAACGACGATGTTTAGAATACACGATTCACGAGCGCAAGCTCAAAGAAAATAAAAAGAAGCTGGAAGAATTAGAAAGAGTCAGCGTTAACAGTCGATTCGAGCAGGGAAGATTATTTGCCGAAGCGAAAGCTGCCCAAGAAATGGTAAGAGTTGCGACGAAACGACTGAAGGAAGCGAAAAAGGAAGTGCAGTCTGCGAATGAAGAGCGAGACGCGTTAAGGTGAAGCTGAAACAAATGCGCGCAAATTTCTCGTAACAATTGCCAACATTTATTATAAATTGAATGTGAAATTTTTAGTGCCGAACAGCAGCAATTATTAAAGGAGAAAACGAAGTTAACGTTTACTATTAACGACTTATTAGAAGAAGTGAAAGGCGACAACGACAGTAAAGAGCGTACTCAACAGGAACTAAAAGAATTGGAAGCGAACATCGCGGCAAGAGAAGAAGAGTTGGAGAAACTAAAACCAGAAGTAAACTATTTCGTTTATCATAATTACCCCAATTTCATGATTAATAATGATATTTTTTTAGTATGAAGAAATGAAACGTGTTGAAAATGAATTAACACGCGAGCTGCAATTGAAAGAGCAAAAGCGAAAAGAATTATATGCTAAACAGGGACGTGGTAGTCAATTTGCGAGCAAGGTATTACATCTAATCTTATTATCACCAGCAAATGGTACGAAATCTTTCAATAATTTCTTCGTCTCAGGATGAGAGAGATAAATGGATTCGAACTGAGCTTGAACAACTCGCAAAACAAATTAAGGACAAGGAGGAGCATGAAAAAAGAATTAGCGAGGACATGAAACGAGATGCGGAGGAACTGGTCGTTTTGGAAAATAAGATCGAAGAACATATGCGTGAAATGGAACAGCAACGAACATCCATAGACGAGCGTATGAACCAGAATTATGAACTCACCAAAGCGAAGGACCAGTGGCTAGTTATTCGAAAAGAACAGTTCGTACATTGCATATTCTTTTTACAACCAAGAAATTTTAACGCACTAAATTATATCTATATTACAGATATCGGCAAGAGAACGTATCGCAACTCAACTTATCAGGATTGAAAGAAGATTTAGCTAAGGCAGATCAAAATTTGCGTTCTATGGCTGGTAAAGCCATCATGAATGGTCGAGACAGCGTGCGGAAAGTTTTGGATACGCTTCGGTGAGCAATATTAATCTTGATTGCAGTTATAAATTTCGTCAATGTAAAATATGTTTTGTTTGCAGGCAGAGGGAGGACATGGCTCATAAAGTGAGAAGTTATTATGGGCCTGTGATTGAGAACTTCAGTTGCGAGAAGAGTCTTTATACGGCTGTAGAGGTGATTGCTGGAAATCGATTGTTCCATCACATTGTCGAAACTGATACATTCGGAACGAAAATTCTGAAAGAAATGAATAAGCAGAGACTGCCGGGGGAAGTGACGTTTGTGCCTTTAAATCGACTTCGCGTAAAAGATATAAAATATCCAGAAACCAGTGATGCTATACCTATGATATCAAAGCTACAATATGATCAGAAGTATGCCAGAGCTATGAGGTAAATGATCTCGTACTCTAATACAAAGTATGATATTATTCGTCTACCTATATGTTGCAATTGTAAATACAGATTTATATTTGAGAAGACACTGATTTGTCGCAATTTAGAAGCTGCGACAAATTTGGCTCGTATGTCTGGTTTGGATTGTGTGACTCTCGAAGGTGATCGAGTATCCTCGAAAGGATTTATGACAGGAGGTTACTTCGATACATCCAGGTCTCGTTTGAAGATACAAAAAACGAGATCAGAGCTAATTGCTCAAATTGAATCCCTCGAATCTCAGCTTTCAACTCTTAAAGAGGAGATCAGAAAATCAGATCAAAACATCATTTCCTACGTTAGCGAAATGCAAAAGACGGAAACTAGAATCAGTAAAGCCAAGTGAGTTATGAACAGAACTTTTCGAGAAGACGATTTATTTTAATTTTTTCATTTCATTATAGAAATATATTTGATAAAATGAACGCTGATTTACGACTCATGAAGGAAGAACTAAGTACGATTAAAAGGTACCGCACATCGAAGGAACAAAGTTTGATGCAGTGTACATCGAGCTTAAAAGCGCTGCGTGCGACACAGGAAGGCTTCGAAAGTGAATTACACGAAGAACTTACTTCAGAATTGTCTGTAGCCGATCAGCAACAGGTAGATTTTTTAAACGACGATATAAGGCGCTTGACGAAAGATAATAAGGATGCGTTCGTGAAACGAATGCGTTTGGAAGCTGAAAAAAATAAATTAGAAAATTTCTTGACCAATAATTTGATCAGAAAGAAAAACGAATTAGTTCAAGCACTGCAAGAGATTTCGGTAGAAGATCGGCAACATAAATTAGAATCGTCGAAAGCACAACTAGCGGATGTTGAGAAGGTACTAGTGAGAGTAAACTCGGATTTTGAAGCTCAAAACGAACGAGTAACTAACGCTATAAAAAAGGTAAATATAAAATTAATTAATCGATTATATCGCAATTAATACGTTTTCGGCCTTTCTTTTAGCAAAAATCAGAGTCCGTGGAAGTTGAAAAATGGAAACTGAAACAGAAGGAAGTGCAGGAGAAAATAGACGCTAATGGCAAGGACGTGGAGAAACTAGCTAGTAAACTAAATATTTTACAACAGAAAATCGTAGAGTGTACGCAAAGGATCACAGAACTTGGTGCACTGCCTAGTCACGAGATGTACGTTAAATTTTGTGAAATGACTACTAAACAGTTGTTCAAAGAAATGGAAAAAGTGAATGATTACTTAAAGAAATACAGGTAACATATACATATCTAACAATCATAAATAAATCATATCTAACGACAGATTTTTATATATATTTAGTAAAAGTTTATACGGCATTTTAGTAATGTAAATAAGAAAGCCTTGGATCAGTTCATGTCGATCAGTGATCAAAAAGAGATATTGGTAAAAAAGAAAGAGAAGTTGGATAAAGGTGATGAGAAAATCAGGGAATTAATGTCAGTTCTCGAACAACGTAAATGCGAGGCAATTCTGTTTACGTTCGAACAAGTGTGTACGACAGCGTTACATATTTCATAATCAGACTAGAAGAGACGAAATGTTATTTACTCTTTTTTAGATGAGCGAATACTTCAACAAAGTATTCAAGAAACTGGTCCCTTCAGGTCATGCAAACCTAATTATGAGAATTGCAGATGAAGACGAAGGACACGATACGATGAACGAATCAACCGATTCCGATAGGTTTATTGGAATTGGTAAGATGATGCGAATTTTTACTTTATTATTATCTAAAGAATAAAGTAACAACGATTGTCTTCTTTCGGATAGACGTAAAAGTTTCGTTCACCGGTCATGCAGCCGAAATAAGACAAATGAATCAATTATCTGGTGGACAAAAATCGCTCGTAGCGTTAGCGTTAATATTTGCTATACAAAAGTGTAACCCAGCGCCGTTTTATTTGTTCGATGAAGTCGATCAGGCTCTAGACGCGCAGCATAGGACAGCCGTAGCGGATGTGATCCACGAACTTAGTTTAAATGCCCAATTCATCACGACCACGTTAAGGTAACGTTACACTATTTGCGTACAAATAAAAAGTAATTTTAATATTTTAAATCTTATTTCAGGCCAGAACTGTTAAAACACGCGAACAAAATTTATGGCGTTAAATTTAGAAACAGAGTTTCGCACGTTGTCTGCATATCTCGAGAGGAAGCAGCAAATTTTGTAGAAGACGATGCCAAACATGATTAATATAAGATCTAACTTATTTATAAATTATTATAGACT